CCCCCCTCCCCATACCTCTGCCCCCCTCCCTTCTTTGACAATCAAACTCTCCTCTTGCCTCCTTCTGGTGCATAGCCCCCAACCTCCGCCTCACCTGCACGCACACGCTGACCAGCTTCCGACCCCACCTGTTCCACTTCCAACCTCAACTGCACAAGCTTAGCTTCTATCTCTCTTCTCCTTTCACTCAAGCGCGAGACGTACTCTTCGTCGCTCAATCTCTGTACGGGAGAGTAGGATTTGAGGGTTTGGTACCACGTTGGTGCTGCTGCTGCTGCTGATGCTGCTGATGGTGATGCTGATGATGAATCGCTGGATGTGCTTGTGGCAGCTGAGGCCCTGAGATCGAGGGCCGAGGGTGAAGGAGATGCTGAGGCGGCAGACTCGGGAGGGCTGCTATCCTCTGCAGAACCCACGCCTGGCCGCAAGTAGTCATACGCTATCAGCACTTCATTCAGCGCGATCTGACCTGCTCCCGCCAAAACTCCAAAAGTGAGCGCTCCTTTGAGAAATGCCGACCGGCCGCCTTTTAGAGAATGCAAGCGGGGGGAGGGGGGAACGGCCGAGCAAAGGACATGTGACATGAGCATGAGCAAGGGGTAGGATGATGCGTCCGCGAAAAAGACTCACGATGATAGGATGCAAAGAATGCTCCGACGATGCTGCCCGATAATGAGCTAGATGCTGTTCCTTCTACGTGCTTCCAAGCACTCCAATTGGCGTGGGTATTACGAGGCAATACAAAAGGTTGAACGATATAATTCCTAATGGCTGCATCGCACCACGCCAGGCAAGCAAGCAGCAAAGGTTATTGTCAGTCAACTTCAACAAGGGCTGCCTCGTTTTGCTTCTTCTTCGACGACGACGACGACAACAAAGCCAACTGAATCGCACTGACCAAAGTAGGGAAAGAAAAAAGGAAAAGCATTGAGGCTGGATTTGAAGACCAAAGGTGCGGAGGCTGCATTTCCTTGTGCTACACCTATCAATCCTACGGTCGAGGCGGTAGCGAACGTGCACAGCGTTGAATAGCTGAGCACTCCCAGTGCCGTGTCTGCCGTGATGCGCGATGGCGATGGCGATGAGGATGTGGCGCGTACGATCGGGTTGGCGGGTGCGGATGGTTGTGCGCGTGCAAGTGCTTGGGGTTGAGGTTGGAGAGATGTGGAGGATGAGGATGGGTTGGAGGGAGCAGAGCTGGACATGATCGGCTCAGGTCTGGTCTGGTCTGGTCTGATCAAGCACAGTCTAGTGTTTGGAATCGAAAACGAATAGGGCGGGCGGCACAGGTTGTAAAGCAACGAGAATGATCAGCGCAGCGTTGTTGGTGGATGAGCACGCGTGAGCGATGGCTGTGCTCAGCAGACTATCACATGTGCGACCCAGCAGCCATTACTGCAGTCACGAGTCGTGGATAATTCGCCCCAATTCGCGCTAAGCAGACGATTCAAGATTCTTGATATTCACATTCACGTGATTCGATATGGTTTGGCCGTGTGCACCAGATGGCACACGTGATCCAGTTGTGCTGCGCGCGCTTCTCCGCGTTCCTGATTCGATTCTTGCTGCTAAATTAATCAAGATCATTCATGATGAGTTGAGTGAGTATTGACCAAGGAACTCGGCATGAGGCGCCATGCGCTTTTCGTGCACACGCTCATCACATTCGACCTCTTTCACGATTCAAGCATCGCTCTACACCTCACCGGCTCGGCTTGGCTGACATGTCCAAGTGTGATGGGAACGGCCCGGAGTTCGACGCCGCCTCGATCTCGTTTATGCACGCTTTTGCAAGGGTCGAGCAGTAAGCCGCTCCTTTCGGACGACCCCTTCGCCCTGCGCATTATCCAGTGAAACCAAAAAAAGGGTGGCTGTGACTCGTTCACGCTATTCAATCTCGAGCTCAAAGGGTCACCTTGAGACTTTTGCGCGTGCGCGTCTAGCTCTAGTCGTGGTCCAGCTGGTGCAAAAGCATGCATGTCCATCTCTCCTCCACCTCTTCAGCCCTCCCTTTCGCAGCACCTTCAACTTTGGACGCAAGAAAGACGCAAGCGGGTGCCAGCAACATGTCGAGCCACAGCTGCGATGCCGATTCGCAGAGGGAGAGGCAAGAGGTGGAGATTGGGATCATTGGAATGGGGGATATGGGCCGATTGTATGCCGAGAGGTTCAGCAGCGCTGGTTGGAAACAGTGAGTGGGGAGTTCGGTCAGAGGAACACGATGCGAGGCTAGGCTAGGCAAGGTCCTGATGTGGGCACTAGATCGGCCTAGGTGTGAAGAGCAGAGTCAGAGCACGGCATTACGTGGCATGGCAGAGCTTGAATGGCTGACTTGCACGCTCTCATCGAACGCTTCACTATTTTCACTCAGCGTCAATGTATGCGATCGATCAGAAAATTACGAGAAGCTCAAAGACGACTATCGAGGTGTGTGTAGTCTCTTTGCGGCATGCATGGTGCTCCAAACCAATGGATCATCACATTGCCCAGCTCCACTCGTCTTACATCACACCCCCGCATCGCGGCACAGACTCTGCGATCCGAGTGTACAGGAACGGACATTTGGTATCTCGCAGGTCAGATCTGATCATATATTCCGTCGAGGCTGCATACATCGACCAAGTGGTGGCTCAGTATGGTCCATGTAAGTCAGTCTCAAACGCCCAGCCAGCAGACTGGTCATACGCGTAGTCGATCGCTCAACACCAACTTTCTCTGTCTCCATCTGCGTGCACGTTTGCTTGCTTGCTCAGCTGCAAAGCAGGGCAGCATCATCTCGGGTCAGACCTCGGTCAAGGCTCCCGAAAGGGACGCTTTCGAAAGACATTTGCCGGACGATGTGTACATTATCTCTTGTCATTCTATGCATGGTCCCAAAGTCGATCCGACAGACCAGCCATTGGTGAGAGTCGTTTGCGCCCGCTTCCTAGCAGAGCAAGACAATTCGACGTGACATTGAAGCTTTGTTCTTCATCGCTGGTGGACACAGATTTTGATACAGCATCGAGCGCCGGATGAAAAGATGCGATTGGTGGAGAGAATCATGAGCTGCTTCAGATCTAGATTTGTCTATCTGAGCTACGAAGATCATGATATCGTCACTGCCAACACGCAAGCTGCTACCCATGCCGCTTTCCTTTCGTAAGTGCTGGGCGGTGGCGGGACGGTGCGGCGCGGCGACGCTGGCAGCTGACGATCGAGACTTCGTGGCTTCATTGTTGCAGGATGGGTACGGCATGGAGAGCTTCAGCGTCCTATCCTTGGGAGACGGGGCTGTACCCGGGCGGAATAGAGACGGTAAAGATCAACATTTGTCTACGAATCTACGCTGCAAAGTGGCACGTGTACGCTGGTCTAGCTTTGCTGAATCCATCTGCGCGCACACAAGTGGGCCAGTATGCCGACAGCTGCACGGAGCTCTTCAAGCTCATGGTGGCTGAAAAGGAGGCAGAGTTGAGGGAAAGGGTGATGAGAGCTAGGAGGGGCGTTTTTGGATGGAGAGATGAAGAGGAGGGGGAAGGAGCCAGGACGACTGGAGCTAGAGCTTATGCGGATGCGAGAGGCGCAAAGGATGAGAAATCGTCGGAGAGGGAACGCAAACCGATCTTGATGTCTGACAAGATGCTGGATCGATTTCATCTGGTTGCGAGAAAAGCCTTGGGCGAGGGGTCTGCTTCGTCGGCGGATCCACATGGAGAAGGGACCCAAGGCGAGCGTCCTGGACAAGATTCTGAGCGGAAACCTTTCGAAAGCAGTGAGGCATCCCCATTCTTGCCATCATTACCCTCGCCATCGTCATCGTCACCGCCGCCCAACTCTCACTTGGCACTGCTTGCCATTGTGGACAGCTGGCACGTCTTGAAGCTGAACCCGTACGCCGATCTGGATCTAGCCGCCACGCCCATCTTTCGCCTATGGATAGGCGTGTGCGAATACCTTTTCCGATCGCCCGCTCGTATCAACAGCGCCATCTCTGCCGCCATACACGACCACACGTTTAGAGCGGACGATACGGAATTCGTCGTTGCTGCGCGCGGATGGGCTCAGGCGGTCAGGTTTGGCAATTTCGACCTGTTTAGATGGAGATTTGAAGAGACTAGGGAATTCTTTGCTCCTAGATTTGAAGAGGCGAATACGATTGGCGCGGAAATGTTGAAGGCGGTTGCTAGCAAGGAGTAGGAAGTGCAGAGTACCTCTTTTGTCTTTCGGAGAAGGGCGCGTTCGACGTTGGGTGGGAAGGGAGGCAACGGGAACATGGGTTGCGGGTACGCTTCGTACGCTATCCACCACATTTCGGACAATTTTGAATGCAAATGCGATGCACAACGTCGAGCTCTGCCCGTCACTTCAACTGTGGGCATATCAAACAAGACGCGCGCGCGCGCAGCAGAAGCTTGAACAAGGCTCCACTTGATTGCGAAAGACCATGTGAAACGATCATGAGGATGCGCGCGACGATCAGCTCTCTAGATTGGACTCACGACTGGCTGATCGCCCAGAAGAGCGATTCGGAGTTCCTGACGAACGGTTTCGTGTGTGGAAGTCGGCGTTCATTGGGATGTCAGTTGAGTCAGACCACGCAACTCACGACTATGAAGAGATCTTGGCGAGTGCGCTTCACTGAGAGGGGTGCGCGAATAGACGAGCCAGCAACACGTGCAGCATGATTCAGCCAAGACTCGAGATCGCAAGAGTCTGAGTCAAAAGTCCCCTGAAGACCAAGACGGAGCTGCAAGTGCGAGTGCGAGTGACCGCGTGCTTAGTACTCCCTGTCCTTGCCTTTCACAAAGTTTTCAAGTCTCGCGTACGTCTGAAAGTGAAAGGAAGGCCGCCCGGCAATCACTGGATGAAGAGAGCAGGAATTACGGCGCTGCGCATGATGGCCAACACATGCACTCCGATCATTTTATGAGGACACGAACGCGAATCAATCGAATGGCCGTCGCTTTGAGCTGAGCCCAGCATGCCTGGCGATCCCAATCGAGAATCTTCTGCAGTCATCAGTGCAGACATTCTTGATTGCTAGGAGACGCTCCATCACCATCACCAAAGCATTCGGCGCGCCCGATCGAGCGCCGGCACCAGCATCCTCCACGCACAAGATGAGCTTGAGCCATGCTTGCATGCATGCATGCCACGCATGGTCCGCGACGCAATCACGAATCAACAGAACCGTGAATCATGCACCAACGGGGCGCGTTCGCGACAAAAGTCCCCGACAACCTCAAGTCAGTACCGGTGACTTGCATCTCTTCTTCACACTCGCCACGACAACGACAAGGCACGCGAGATTATCCCAGAAGATTCATCACGGTTGGGGCCCCCCATTCAAGTCATGCCACAGCAGGCAAAGACAGCGTACACGCACTGGCTCGCCAAAGCTGAACCGGATCCACGTATGGAGAATGGGGTAGACGTTTCGTTTGGCCTCGACAAGTTCAAGGCTTGCAAGGATCAGACTACGAGTTGGGAGGGAGTCAGGGCTCCCGAAGCACGAAATCATCTGAGAGATAGGATGAAGGTGAGAGGGGGGGATGGATGACGCGGCTTTTGCTGCTAGGCCGAGCTTCATCAGTACGATAAATTGACGCCTTCATCCATCTGTCAAAACGACTATGACTATTCTCATGCTTTTCAGCTCGATCACAAGGTCTTGTTTTACCATTCCAATTGCAAGCTTCCTGGAGTGGCCGCCATTGCCAGGGTGAGCTGCATATATGCTTCTCAAAATTGTTTGGCAGGCTTGGGCGCCGCATGTCTCACCGATGGTTGCTACCAGGGTAGGTGGTCAAAGAAGGATATCCGGACCATACCGCATTTGATCCAGTGAGTGCCCATGATCGCAGCGTCATCCATCTCACGCCTCTTGCTCTCATGCGCGAAATGATTTTTTTCTCTTGTTTGGGGCTGCCCCACCGTGGGCTTAGCAACATCCATACTACGATTCCAAATCCTCACCCTCCGATCCAAGATGGTACATGGTGGATGTGAGGCTGGACAAGGCGCTGGAATACTTTGTGCCCCTCGCATTGCTGCAACACCTGGCATCTTCTTCCTTTGACAACAATGTGGAACAAGGCAGAGATGTTGCGTATCTCACAGAGCAACACTTGCAAAGCATCAAAGACATGCAATTGCTAAATCGAGGCAGGCTGAGCGTTCAGGTGAGGAGGCGGGAGGCGCCACGCAGCATAGCTCATCCAGCTTGTCGACAGCGAACGAAACGAAGCGCGACGCTCTGACCTCCCCTCCTCTTGCGTGGTGTTGTTAGCCCGTCACGGATGAAGCGTACGAAGCTATCCTCTTGCTCGGCTCTCGGGGCGGATGGTCAGAATGGCCAGGCAAATGGAAGGCTGCTGCTGCTGCTGCTGCTGCTGCTGCTGCTGCTGGCCCTTCGCGAGCCCCAGTCTCAACAAAGAACGAGGAGACACGTGTTCAGCAATTCGAGCCGCATAAGGCGGTGCAGAGAGCCGGAGATGGCGGCGGGAACAGCAAACGCAAAATCACAAACGACTTGAACGCTACGGCTGCCAAGCGTGGACGTGCTGCAGCACCACGCGCAGAATCTCGCACCGAGGGTACACGACGGTCCACAAGGCAACAGTCCAAACGATAGCGCACAGCAAGCTCAGCAATCCAAGTCTACTCTTCGTCCAAGACGTCCTTTCAAAGTCTCAATTGCAATCTTTCTATCAATACAAAACAGATGCGTGGCCAGAAATAAGGGGGGAAACAGACAGCTTGAGCCGAAGATTATTCTCATCTCGCGCTCGTGCACCAGCGGCTACTTGGGCAGTTCGATGCCAGGAATGTTCCTCGCAAGAGCAATGTATCCCAATCTCAGATCGTCCCAGAGCTTTGCGTCTCTTCTATGCTCCTCCGCATCCGCTCTGAGCTGCTCGGCATTGCCCGTCGTCGCGCCAGACTGCAGTTTGGTGCTCCTCAATCGTCGGCCCAAAGCGCGGTCAGAAAGGGCGGGTACCAATCTAGCATACTGCCTGAGTATGCGATTGATCTTTTCAGCGTCCAAGTCTTGGTCGGCATATCGCAGCGTGGGAGTGTCGGGTCCTAAACTTCCAAGGTCTTGTTCCTGATGCACCTGCGCGTACAGCTCGGCAGGCGAGCGAATCATGACGTGCACTTGCGCTTCGTCGCGCGCGGCTCGTTCGACATCTCGTGCTCGTGCCCGAGCAACGAGCGCTCCAGGACGGAGCATGGCTTCGACATGGCTTTGGGTCAACCAAAACGCTCCAAGACCCCGCTCGGCGTGCTCTTCAGATCCGAGCGAGGAGATGTCAAGATCGTCTAGATCAACCGGCAATGCCTCGTGCGTTGCATCGCTCGGTCTGCGGTCCTCCATCTTTGCTGGATCATCGTTGCGATGCTTTGCGAGCTCGCTAGCTTCGAGTAGGGCGCCAGCTCTTGCCAGCACATCCAGCGTTCGCCCCGTGATGGGAGAGATGATTTCATCTCGCACCCATGCTTGCAGCGGACGATCCAGTATCATTCCGCGCATCGCCGCCTCAAGCAAAGGCGCGCCAAAGTAGCTGATGGACGGTGTGCTTCTGCTCCCCGGCTCCCTTTCCATCGGTGTACCGCAAGTGCCTTGTTCGAATTTGCTCTGACTTCGTTGTCGCGAGTCTGGCTTCTCGACTTCTGTGCTCCAAAAGACATCTCTCTCGACGCCGTGGTAGGCCAGAAAGAGGGCAAAGCCGCCCTCTCTCTGCATGTCATCGGTCAGATGAGCCCTCTTGGTCTCTGCCTCTTCCCTCTTCTCTTGGTCCAGCTCATCCTGCTTCTCAGCCAGCTCAAGAGCCGCTTCTTCTGCGTCTTCTTTCGTGCGTACATCATCGCGCTGCTGAGCCAGTCCAGCTGCTCCAGAGACGAATTCTGCGACGCTACGGGCATATGCTTCTCCCATGGCGCTCTTCCACGTCAAACGTTTGAGCGTCTCCTGGGCCCGCAAGGCAGCGACATTTCTAGCATCAGGAGAAGCTTTGAGTTGTTGCTCCATCGAGACCACAATGGACTCTACGACGTCTGTGAGCGTGCTCGTATCCATCAATTGCTTTGCAGAAGGAGGCTGCGAGCGGCCAAAAAGGCTCCTTTCGACCGTCTTCTCCAGCTCAGATTTGAGTGCACCCTCGTATGTAGATCCGTTCGTCAGATGGAGAGGGGGTAGCCGATTCTTCTCTGGCCCGCCTTTGATCGTTTGGATGTGCGACTGCCAGGCGGTAGGGAGCAAGCCAGGGTACAGACCGAAGTCCAGCGGATGAGCAAGACGAGATACGGATTGTCGATTATACGTCCAATCATCGATATTCGCCATTCCCTTGTCATCCCTCTCTTTATCTCGATCCTTGCCTATCTTGCGTTCTCCCTTTTCGGTTTCTGCGTCCGCCACAGAGTCGACAGCTGGTCTAGGCCATGCTAACGGTACTCTGGGACCTCTTTGAGGATCGGTGGGAGTAGCGCGGTAGCCCCATCCGCTCGGCACCGAGTATGGGGTGCTTTGCTGCTCAGTGGGCAGCTGAGAAAGATCATGACTTGCCGAAGCCGTGACCTCGTAGGGCTCCGTTCGAATCGCAGCGGTGAAGGGGTTGATCGTGTCGCCCACAGGCCGGAGAAAAGACGAGGCTTGTAGCTGAGCGGCAGGATGAATCGGATTGAGGGCATCGAAAGTTGGCAGGAGCGTACCGTTGGTGCGTCTCTCCTCCCCATCAAGGCCGAGCGGCTGCAGCAGAGCTCTTCGCTGATCCGTCTCGAGCGCATCTACGTCAACGGACCCGTCTTCCAAGAAGGTGAGGTCCGACACGTTTGCGGCACCAGTGGTGGCCAGACCGAGAATCCCACCTGCAGATCGCGGTGTGGTCGGTGTGCCCAAGAGAGAAAGACCAGGAAATCCAAGACTGTTCATTTTCTGCCTGGCGCCTCTTCGGCCTTTTTGAGACGCTCTGGGCCCATACTTTCGTCGTGCCACCTCGGGACTGCCAAGTCGACTGGAGTCTGCCCTGAAGCTGCCGTGTCTACCAGGCTCGACCGACATGCTGGCGTCCCTACTCTCATCACCCGAATCGCCACTCCCTCCGCCATCCGAGCCTTCCCAATCGTTCTCCTCGTCGTATTCGCTCTTGACCTGGAGATCGTTTGTTGATGCTCGCTTGGGCTGCCGCAACCCTCGAGAGGCAGCCGCAGCTGCTGCCGCGGCCTCAGCCTCCACCTCCGCGGCTTGGGCTGCAGCAGCCTCTTCTTCGGCAGGCAGAATAGCCGCGGCGCCTTCTCTGTCTATAGCGCGCACACCCCAAGTCTCTATCCTTTTGGCCTCGTTTGAGTAGATGGAACCTGGAGGATTGAACGTCTGCGCGTTGCGCATGACGAGCAACAGATCATCTTTGAAGTCTTCGGGGGTACGATATTCCTCCGCTTCCAGCTTGTTCTGCATTGTTTGAAAGTCCATGGGATTAGAGATGACCGATCTGTAATTTGGAACTTCCGCCTCGTCTACTGGGAAGCAAAAGAACTGATAAGTGTCCCGCTTTTGTAATTGCGTGAGCACCCGCTCCAAGGCCTGTTTGAGCGGTTTGCGCTTCAATTGTTTCATTCTTCTCTGCCTTGGCTGCTGAGATGTATCGTCGTCGGGATCTCGCAAATCTGCACCCTCGCCATTTGCCCCGGGTGTATGCGCTTCCCACGCCTCCTCCTCTTCCTCGCCTGCGTCTCGATCCGCATTAGAGGCAGGTGTGTGACTGTGCGAAACATCTTCATCTTGGCCGGCGACGGTGCTTTGTCGTCGTACGGGTACCAAGACGCTGTGTTTGCGTTTGACTTTCTTCTTCGCTGGCGATTCTGCAGAAGGCGACGCGACGTAGCTTTGTCCGACGAGGGGAGCTTCGACTGCTGGACTGGGAGTGGCGCTTGCGCTGGCATGATTGCTCAGCCTGCTGAGGTTGATCTTGATGCGAGGCCGAGCTGGGGCTGCGGGTGCGGGCGCCGCCAGCGGGGTTGAGGGTCCAGCGACCGCATTTTGACCGGCATCTGATTGGCTCTGGTGCGTGTGCAGACGTGAAGCTTGGCTAGCATTCGACTTGTTCTGCTCGTTGTTGGAAGAAGAGATGCCCTTTCTGGAGAGGACGATGCGCGATGGCATGCCGAGAGACGTCGCAGTAGCCACAAGGCGAGAATGGTCTCTGAAAACAGGACCCGACCAAACAGGACCACCGAGCACTTTGAGCAGCTCTGTGTGCAATGATGAGGCAATCCCGATGCTCAGACCCTATTCACCGTTTCTGGCATCTTCAACAGGACTCCGTATTCTGACGGAGCATCTGTCGCACTCACCAATTCTTCTCGCGAGTCTGATGCAGCGAAGCAATTGTCGCGGCCACAGCAGAAACTGTTTGATCTGTTGCTTTAGCTTTCCTCTTCGTGGGGTCGCTGAGGTGGGTCTTGGACGTCTCACGCGAGCCTGCATCGTCCGCCAGCGATGCTGACGTGGCGCGACCTCGGCGCATGCGCGCGCTGCACACCAGCCTCGGGGCCGCCGCTCGTTTCATTTTTGATTCTTGTTTGCCCCTTTTTTTGAATCACGTGTTGAAGAAAAGGTATACTTTCCACGTGGTCGCACACGCTTAGCTTTGACGCCCTCTCAAAACCCGCCTCCACCCTGGCCCGCCCGCGCCCGGACAGGTGTAGGCGCGGCGCTGATGGTGATGCGAAAGCACGCGGCGCCACACGCAACGCAACGCCGAATCGATGCTCGCCTTTGTGCGGGCAGAGAGGAACGCCATTCAGTGATTACAAGGTGGATGAATTGGTCATGCAAAGTATAGTCACACGTACAGTGTCATTTGTTGACTGGGACTTGACATCAAGAGCGCACCAGTGCCGCTCTGCCCATGGCAGGGGTCTCGGATCATCTTCACTTGTGTGGTGTACGATGCCGCATGGCGCAAGAAGAACGGCGACTCCAAACATGCAGCAGCAGCAGCAGCAGCACGTACAGGCCGCTAGTGCGTGTGGTCTGAGGGCGCGGCCATCCATGCTGCATGCATGGCGCTTCAGCATCAGGCAGCCGCCCACGAAATTGAAATTACACACGCGTGAAAAGGCTATACACACGACTGTAGCTGCTGCTGGCCGGCAAACTCAGAAGACCTGAATCGCGAATTTGCGATCGTTGTTTGATTTGCCAGGGAGGACTGACGACTCAGACTACTGGAGGACAGCTAAGGATATACAATCAAATATCAAGAATTTAATGATGAATGTGAATGCAAGTACGTGACTTCAAATTGCACCGAGCTTGATCTCAGCAGCAGCGGTGAGTGGTGGTGCCATACCATGCGGCAGGAAGATGTGAAACTTGCCGAGATCCGTCAATCAGAAAGTTGTCGCTTGAACCCCGTACCCCGCAATCATCATCATCATCATCTTATCGCACCATCACTCCGCTTGCATTCCGACACTTCTCAACCCATTGATCGCCACCCCCTTTCCTCCAGACTGTCGCATCGCTCCGAACTTGTAGATCACCATTCGCTCAGATTCGACCACGCGGATCCGACCTTCTTCCCCCGCCGCTGCTAATTAATCCGACTTTCCAAGGGGAAATTTTCTAGAGATTGTGACTCGAAATCGAAGCCAGCATGTCGATTTTCCTGCCCGCAATGTTCAGGCCGTCATGGTCTCAGCCGGTGCATGCAGACGACTTGCCATCGTCAAGCACCGCAGCAGAGGATAGCGAAGAGTCATATCAGCACGCGCACCAGTTCGTTGTTCCTCATCTGCCGGGAGAAGGCAGATTCACTGTTTCCGCCAAGGTGAGACTGGATTGTATAGTCATGGCGCTCTAGGTCCTCGTTAATTATGATGTCGTTCATCATCACCTGCTTCATTCACGCAGGTCTACGCCAGACCAGACGGCGATCCAGCATTCAAAAAGCACTTGGACGCATTTCAGAGAGAAGTCGCCCTCTCTTCGCCTGGCCTACTAGCATACAGGACGTCCAAAGTCCGAGCTGGAGATGGGGACAGCTCCTTGATCTGTCACGAGTTATTCATCTCGGACGATCTGGATCCTCATCCTCTACCTCCCAAATCCCTGCCCTCTTCCGGCACTGGTCAAGCCGTGGAACGAGCATCGAAAGCTGCGCAGACGACGGGAGGCGATTCGGCAAAGGACAGCCTGAAAGAGGCAGCGGCTCAAGCTGAACATCAGGCTGTTAGCTTCTTGGCAGAGGCTGCTCATTCGGCTTACAACTTTGGTCTAGGCGGTATTGCGGGTGCTTTCGGAGCTACGATCGTCTATCCCATCGATCTGGTCAAGACCAGGATGCAAAACCAGAGGTGAGTCTCGTCAGGACATGCTCGCTTCGGCAGCTCCAAAATGGTCCTTTTCAGCCATCCGCCCGCTACGCGCTCTCGGCACTTCTGTGCGACGCACTGAAGCTATTTTGACTTGCTTACAGATCTTCTGTGGTCGGCGAACCTCTGATGTACAAGAACTCGATAGATTGCGTGCGCAAGGTCTTCCAGAACGAAGGCTTTCTGGGCTTCTACTCCGGTCTCGGTCCTCAATTGCTGGTGAGTGTACCCGGCAAGGCCTAGCGTGTATGGCAATGTGCGGTGAGCCCGTTGCTAATCCCGACCTTTGCATTTACAGGGCGTAGCGCCAGAGAAGGCTATCAAGCTCACTGTCAACGATCTTGTCAGAGCACATGCCAAGGATCCTGAGACTGGGGCTATCGCTGTGCCTTGGGAGATTGTGGCAGGTGGTACAGCAGGTGGTTGCCAAGTGGTGAGTAATAGAGTGGCTTGGATCTCGGTACCCGGACCGCGGAGCCGTAGAGTGAAAGAGGAGACAATAGTCAAGTGAGGGCGATCTGACGCAGTTTGCGATTACCTAACTGCACGTCCATACAGATCTTTACAAACCCACTCGAGATTGTGAAGATCAGGTTGCAAGTGGCAGGAGAGATTGCGAAAAAGGAAGGAGCGGATCGCATAGCGCGAGGGGCGATGCACATTGTGCGACAGCTGGGATTGGTGGGACTGTACAGAGGAGCATCAGCCTGCCTTCTCCGAGACATTCCCTTTAGCGCCGTCTATTTCACCGCGTACGCTCATTTGAAAAAGGACACTTTTCAAGAAGGCGTGAATGGCAAAAAGCTAGGATTTGGCGAATTATTGGCTAGCGCTTCCATTGCTGGTATGCCTGCCGCCTTTTTCACGACCCCCGCAGACGTCATCAAGACTAGGTTGCAGGTGGAAGCAAGAAAGGGGGAGGCTACGTACAAGGGCATTGCCGATTGCTTTGCAAAGATTTTGAAAGACGAAGGACCGAGAGCTTTGTTCAAGGGTAGCGCTGCTCGTGTGCTCAGATCGAGCCCTCAGTTCGGTGCGACGCTGGTGGTTTACGAGACTCTGAAGGTGAGCAGCAGCTGCGAGGACCAAGCCGAAGGCGCGCACGCTCTACGCACAGCCTGATCAGCGCAAACATTTACTGATTCCTTTTCGCACCTATTTTCTCTCTTAATCGTCTTTTGTCGCAATAGACCCTCTTGCCCTACCCATTCGACTCAAAACAATCCGCCGACTTGGAGAAATCAGCTGCTGCTCAGAGACCTTGGGAAGACCCTTCGAGGACGCATGCTAGAAACGCTATGAGGTTGCTCTTGGACATGCACGAAGACTTTGGCAGCCCTATCCCTCCTCAGGGCTTCAAACCTTGGTCAGGTGGCAAGGCTGATCAGTAAAGGTCTCCATCAGCCCCTTTTAGACCCGCGAACGGGCAAGGCTAGTTGCGCTCCTGTCTTTCCATCGAACTCGCTGCTGGGTGTTTACGAGCCGACAAAAAGCAATAGATGCAGAACCATCCTCATCAGACGATGTATCCTTTTGCGATCGTAGAATCAGTCGGAGCTTTGGTGAGGTTCTATTGCTCGAAAGGGTAGACAGGTAATCTGTCCTCATCGCCCTCTATTTTCAGCGGGGCAGACGGTTGCTGAGCAGGTCCACCAGGAGCAGCTTCGATGCCCAAAAACTTGTACTGCGTTCCCATACCCTTTTGATCGATCAGCCTCCTGACTGCCGTTCTGATATCCGCCTTGTTCTCTTCGGTAATGGAAGGCGATTCGAGCAGATGCTTGAGTCTTGGTGCTAGACCTAGCGATTGGAGAAAGGAGGATTGGGTCATCGGACCCAGTGGCCGAGCTGAGGTGAAGCAGAAAGAGAGGAAAAGAGTGGAGTGGGAAAAATCAGCTTGAAATGTCCAGCGAGTTTCTTCGTTGGAAACCGCCAAGTCGAAGCTTTGAGATGGTGGCGACTGCAAAGAAGGAAAAGATGGGATTCCATTAACTCACCATCGGTGCCTTCTAGGGCTGACCTCAAGTAGGCAAAGTCCACATTAGCTGTCAGGTCCGCTTCCCCCGCATCTTTAAGCGGATCAGACAATGCGTGTTTCTTGAAGGCCTGTCAGGATGCGCGTAGCGAACAGCGGGGATCAGTCCTAGGTCCAAACGGGAAAGTCGGGCTGGGACTGCGCCGCGACGCGTTCGAATCTCGATTGCATCGTGGACTTTAGATGCAAGAATCTTGTGTACTCACGCGCCAACTATCACCGCTAGCCACCACATCTCCATAATCCACAATCAATCCCGCACCTCCCAAACTCTGTCCCAACATCCTCTTTCCCTCAAACTCCTGATCCAATCCCCCATCCTCCTTCAATCTCCTGGCCTCTCGCCCACTCAATATTTCTCCCAATCTCCTGGCCGCACTGAAAGATTCGAAGGACACTTCCACGCGCGAACCGGGAGGGAGGGACTTGAAACGGCCTTGGAGAGATGCAAGAGTGGACCAGGGAGTGGAGCGAGGTGAGAGGACTTTTCGAAGGGCTGTAGAGGGGAACGAGGAGGTGGACGATGCAGCGGGCCCGTCGCTGGAGCTCTGCACTGGTCGAAGGTCGGACGGCCGGAGGATTGTACTGAGATGGCGCCAGGTGATGTGGCACGGAAGACATGTCAGCGTCGCTGCACATGCGTTGCATGTATGCTGTCCTGCGTTCCGACGGTTGAGCGCGTCCGGCAACCTACTCACACGCCTGATTGACCCTCGGTGGGCCTATCAACGTCAACAAGGACCTCTCGTAGACCATTGGGCGTATTCTGAGGTATCAAGGTAGAGCTCACCATTCTTTCAGTCCTACATGCATGATGCACTTTGTTGGTCGTCCCCTTCTCGGTACACGAACCACTCACTTCGAAAATGTGAATGGGCAGAGCATCGAAAAATTCATGAGCAAGCACCATGGTGTACGCATCCTTACTGATGGGCACATCTTCGATCCTAGGGAACCATTCCACCTGCACTTTGCGTCGACCATCCTCTCCTTCATCACTGCGCTGCTTATGTCCGTCTTTCGAATTGTTTTCCACTCCATCTTCCGCAGAACTCATTTCTAGACCTGAGGATTCCAAAATGGAGCCGAGCGCGGTTGCTTGCGAGGTCATCATGCCCGGCGAAGCTTCTACTAGATGGACGGATCGTAAAGAAGAAAGCAGCGTAGGAAATCGAGAGAACGTCTGTGGTCCATATGGACACGAGGAGGGTATGGGGAAGCTGAGGAGTGAGCCCATAGATGGACGACCCAAAGGGCGGCAAAAGACAATCCTCGTGCCTCACGCTTATCACGTCCGACAGGAGTGTGCCTCGTCCAGGTCCTAGCTCGACCAATCTGACTTTGCTTGGAGATCCAGCGGCTTGCCATCTGGATATCAAGTACACTGCCAAGAGCTGATACGAGAGGGTGACGAGGTCCATGTCAATGTATGCCAGGCTATGTCTCAGATCTCCTTCTCCTCCTCCTCCTCCTCTTCTTCTTCCCGCAGCTTCATGACTTCCACTTACCTCTCCAAAGATCTGACAAATTTCAGGACTTGTAATGAAGTCGCCTTTCGCGCCCAGAATGTTGCGCGCCCG